TAAAACTCTCCAGAATATCTCCAACTACACACTTAGAAACAGCACTTAGAAGTAGCAACCAAGCTGTAATAGCCAAGCTAATGGCAACAAGCCTTCTATAATTCCTAAAATCACCACCCACTAGGTGTAACGATAGCCTACCTGTCTCCTCCTGACCCACGCCGCGCGGCGATCTCCCCGGCTGCTTCCAGGAGGCGAAGCAGCCGGTCTGACGCTGGCCGCTCACGGCAAAGCCCCTCTTATGACCCAGCACATGTGCGCCGACGCCATCGGGGTTTTGCCACGAAAATTCAAACGCGGCCACGCTCCCGGACTTTTTGGGGGCGTGGTCCTAAAGCTGAATACCACTCACTATATAAAGGCGTCCCTGTCCTTTCCCCAGCGCCCTAGTGTGGTTCTGTAATTGGTTCCTCTAGTGCTATTCATACTCCTGTTTGTCTTCCTGGTAATTTTGACCCTTGGCTTCCTCTCTAACTACTCTCCTCTCTGGTGTCCCTGAATTTTGACCATTGACCTTTGGCTATCCTTTTGACTATTCTCAGACGTTAAGCCCAGCCACTCTAAGGACCGGTATACGTCTCCTTTTAGGTTACGCTCTGCGTGAAGGGGTCACTGTCATGACATTACACTAGAGCCATGGACCCTGCAGATGTTAACCCTCATGGGCCAGTTCCTGACAACAGATTTGAGGAGCTGGATCATCGTATGGACCAGTTCGCTGTAGCAGTTCAGACCATGTTAGCCCGTACTGCCCATCTCCAGCAGGAGGAACATATCCCTGGTCAAAGACCCCAAGAATCTCCTATGAAAATGGTGGCAGGGGGGCTTCTTCCCACGCTACATCTCCTCTTTGTTATGGGGGAGACCCTAAGGGATGTCGTGGCTTTCTAAACCAAGTCAGCATAAACTTTGAACTGCATCCTAGAGCATATCCCACAGATAGATCAAAAATTGGTTACATTATAACCCTGTTAGTGGACAAAGCACTAGTTTGGGCCAACCCTTTTTGGGAAAATGACAATCCCTTGGTTTATAACTATGCAGACTTTGTCGCTGCTTTTAGGAGGACATTCGATCCCCCTGGAAGACGAACCAACGCCGCAAAAACCCTATTACGAATGAGACAGGGGTCTCGCTCATTGGTTGACTATGCCTTAGAATTCCGCACTCTGGCCGCTGAGGTTAGATGGAATGAGCAGGCCTTTGTGGATGTGTTTATGAATGGGCTTTCTGATAAGCTTTTAGACGAGGTAGCTACACGGGACTTACCTAATGTGTTGGAGGATTTAATCACCTATTTAGCACATATAGACGAACGCCTCCGACACTGACAAAATACCAGGGATAGACCTAGACGTTTACCGGAATGTCTGGCTCTAACATTCCCTTCGTCTGAAGCAACCGCTGTCACTCCCGCAGAACCCATGCAATTGGGATCCACGCGGTTATCCGAACCAGAAAGAACTTATAGACGAAGGGAGGGACTTTGTATGTATTGCGGGAAAACAGGGCATTCTCGCTTACATTGTTGAAGCAGGCCGGAAAACTCCAGCACCTAAGCCCTCAAGGAGGACAGGCCTTGGGTGTAATGTGTATGTCCTCCTTTAATGATAAGAAAGAATTAAGGCTTCTTCTACCCATAACCTTAGAGTGGGAAGGGAAAGTGGTAACAACCACTGCGTTAATAGATTCTGGGTCAGCCGAGAATTGTGTTGATATAACATTCGGTCAGTATCACAATCTCCCATTCAAGAAAAGACCAACACCCTTGGCCGTTGAGGCCATAGATGGTAGACCATTGTCAGTCCCTCTTATTACTCAACAGACGATTCCCCTGGTGCTGACTGTAGGCACATTGCATAGAGAAACCATAACTCTACAGCAAATAACTTCCCCCACCTTTCCTGTGATACTTAGGTTCCCTAGGCTCACCAGGCATAATCCTTTAATAGACTGGGAAAGAAAGGAGATAATAAAATGGGGCGACTTTTGTTTTAAAGAGTGTATTATTCAAGTTAAACCAATCGGTCTACTTAATGTTCCTACCATGAAGCCCTTAACTACCCAGATACCCAAGCAATATTGGGATCTCAAAGGGGTCTTTGAACCAAAGGAAGCTGAAAAACTTATTACCTGGCACCATGCGCCCTAGGGGTACCGTGTATCCCCTCTCTGTGACCGAAAATAAGGTACTTGAGGAGTACATTAGGGAGAATCTGAAAAAAGGTTTTATCACCAAATCTTCTTCCCCGGCTGGAGCCGTTTTTTTCTTTGTTTCTAAAAAGGAGGGAGATTTGAGGCCTTGTATTGACTATCGGGGATTAAACAAAATAACCATACGAAACGCTTATCCTAGCCCGCTTATAACTGAACTTTTCGACATGTTGAAGGGAGCAACCGTATTCACCAAGCTAGACTTACGGGGAGCATATAATTTGGTTAGAATTAAAAAGGGACATGAGTGGAAGACTGCTTTCAATACTCGCTATGGCCATTATCAATATAGGGTTATGCCATTCGGCTTATGCAACGCTCCTGCAGTCTTTCAAGATTTTATAAACGATGTATTAAGGGATTATTTGCAAATGTTTGTTGTTGTTTATTTGAATGACATACTCATCTACTCTAAGAGTATTACTGAACATCATAAACACATTAGGTTGGTCCTATCTAGATTATTGAAAACCGGACTTTATTGCAAACTAGAAAAATGTTTGTTCGATGTAGAAAACTTCCTCGGGTATATAATTTCAGGTTCAGGCTTTCAAATGGAACCTAAAAAACTAGAAGCAATCTTAAACTGGCCCATACCCGTTGGGCTAAAAGCCATCCAACGTTTCCTAGGGTTTGCCAATTATTATAGAAAGTTTATTAAAGGGTTTTCCTCTATTACCGCTCCTATCACCACCATGACAAAAAAGAATAGGAACCATACGGTATGGAGTCCCAAAGCTAAAGATGCCTTTGAGAAACTTAAGTTAGCCTTTTCTTCAGCCCCGGTATTAAATCATCCAAATCCTTTGCGTCCCTTTATATTGGAGGTAGATGCCTCAGAAACAGGGGTAGGGGCTGTATTATCCCAGAGATCTTCGAATGATCAACCCCTACATCCCTGTGGTTATTTCTCTAAAAAATTTACTGAAACGGAACGAAGATATGACATAGGAGATAGAGAACTGTTGGCTATTATTTCCGCACTCAAGGAATGGCGTCACCTATTAGAGGGGTCACCAGAACCTATCACAATTCTTACCGATCACAAAAATCCTTCATATTTTGGAGATGCGTAAAGAATGTCTGACAGGCAGATTCGTTGGTCTTTGTTTTTGACACGCTTTAACTACATTGTGACATATAGACCCGGGTCTAAGAATACCAAAGCGGATGCCCTATCCCGACAGCATGAACACCTTTCTCCTCCCGTAACTCATTTATGCTCGATAATTCCTGCCTCGCACATGGTAGCTACAGTTCATGCTAAAGTCTCTTCTGAAATAATTGAAACTCTATCCAAATACCAGGATCACAACTCCCTCACTATTCCTCAGGGAAAATTATACGTTCCTTTAATCTACAGAAGATCTGTCCTATCCTTAGTACACGACTCTAAGATTGCAGGTCATCCCGGTATCCATAAGACGGTATCATTACTCGAAAAACAATTTTGGTGGCCCTCTTACAAAAAAGATGTCCGAGAATTTGTTTTAGCCTGTAACATCTGTTCTTCTAATAAGTCTCCTAAGAGTCGCCCTTTAGGTCTCCTCATGCCTTTGCCTATTCCTGATAAACCCTGGTCTAGTATAGCCATTGATTTCATAGTGGATCTACCTCCTTCCAAAAACCACAGGGTAATTCTAACTATCATCGACAGATTTTCCAAAATGACCCATCTTGTCCCTTTAATTAAATTGCCTTCATCCTCCGAACTGGCCACGGTATTCATAAGAGAGATAGTTCGGTTACACGGTATATCCGTGGATATAGTTTCAGACAGAGGTCCCCAATTTATTTCCAGGTTTTGGAGAGCATTCTGTAATCAATTGGGTATCAGGCTTAATCTCACCTCTTCATATCATCCCCAATCTAATGGGATTACAGAAAGGATGAATCAGTCACTCGAACAGTACATTCCCTGTTTCACCTCCGATCACCAAGATGATTGGGTAGAATTACTTCGGTGGGCTGAATTTGCCCATATTAACGGGGTTCATGATTCTACGCAGCATAGTCCTTTTTATATAAATTATGGCTTTGACCCTATTACTCTTCCGAGTTCCTTTTCATCTACTGCAGTGCAAAGCGATGACTGCACTATTAAGAATATGAAAGAAACTTCGATAGGAGTCAAACGTATCTTGACTCAAAAGGCTGAAACTCAAAAATGTAAAGCGGACATTCGGCAAAAGACCGCTCCGAATTTTATGGTAGTGGATAGAGTGTGGTTAAGTACGCGCAATATTAGATTAAAAGTCCCCTCTACGAAATTCACTCCACGTTTTATTGGTCCTTTTAAAATCCTCAAGCGCATTAATCCAGTCTGTTACCGCCTGGATTTGCCAGCTAATATGAAGATACCCAATTATTTTCATGTTTCTCTCCTTAAACCTTTAATTTGTAACCATTATACTCGAAGGTCCTCAAGGCCTCCTTCCTCATTCGTAGAAGGTCAAAATGAATACAAAGTGAAATCTATTTTGGACTCTCGTATTTCTAAGGGTCGTCTCCAGTATCTATTGGATTGGAAGGGGTATGGCCCCGAGGAACGGCCCTCGTGGGTGGATGCCTCAGATGTACACGCCCCTCGCCTGGTTCGTTCCTTTACTAGGCGTCGTACTCGCAAGCTGAGTCCTCCCCGCCCTGGGGGCGGTTCTCTAGGGGGGGTACTGTAACGATAGCTTACCTGTCTCCTCCGGACCCACACCGCGCGGCTGTCTCCCCGGCTGCTTCCGGGAGGCGGAGCAGCCGGTCTGACGTTGGCCGCTTGCGGCAAAGCCCCTCTTATGACCAGTTATCAGTATGACAGGTACGCCTCCCTTGTAAAAGAGAGGGATCATGGGTCATACCGCTCGCCCTATCCTTATCTTAGCTGCAAGCGGAAGGAAGGTACCAAGTCCATCCCTAGTCTGCGGGGCACCGACGGGACCCTAGAGGAGTCTCCTCGCGGGATTCTGAAGGTGGTCCGCGACTACTATATTGAGCTCCTCGGAAAGGGCAGCCCCCAATGTAGCGAGGAGGGAACCTCCCACGGGAGAAGGGTGGATGACTTCTTGAGCGAGCTCACGCTCCCTGAGCATAGCGACCTCTCTTTTGACGAGTTGGTCAGCGAGATCACCATAGAAGAGGTCACAGAGAGTATCCAACAGCAGAACAAGTGTAAGTCGCCAGGTCCTGATGGTCTGACGGCCGAGTTTTACCAACAGTTCTGCGACCTCTTGGCCCCTCATCTGACCGAGGTGTTTAATGAGAGCTTGGCTCAAGGATTATTGCCACCCTCGATGAGGACTTCTGCCCTGATCTTGCTGTCCAAGCCGAACGTGCTCGACACAGCGGATGTGGGGAACTGGCGCCCCATATCCCTGTTAAATGTCGACAGGAAGGTCCTGGCAAAGATTTTGATGAAACGAGTACAGGGCCTAGCGAGGCGTGTCCTATCCACCTCCCAGTACTGTTCAATCGAGGGCAGAACTGTCTTTGATGCCATTTTCGAAGTCAGGGAAGCCCTCGAGAAGTGCAGGGACGGAGAAAGGGGGATATACCTTCTGGCACTTGATCAGTCCAAAGCTTTTGATCGAGTAGATCACCGTTATCTGTGGTCAGTCTTGCGGAAGTATGGCTTGCCGGGAAAATTCGTCAATTGGATAATCACCTTGTACAGAGGGGCCGAAAGCTTCGCTCTTGTGAACGGGTGGAGGGGCAGGGCGTTTAGGATCCGATCCGGGGTCAGGCAAGGCCCACTCTTGTACGTGTTTGCAGTCGATCCCTTCATCCGAAGGGTCGAGGCAGGCACGTTACAGGGAGTGGCCAGGGCTCCGGAGAGGCCTTTACGGGTTGTTGCCTACGCTGATGACCTCTCCATAGTGGTCTCCAATACTCGGGAGGCCACGGAGGTGGATGATTTAATCCTAGCGTATTCTGCCGCTTCAGCCTCTCGTGTCAACAGGGACAAGAGCGTAGTTTTCTGGTGCGGGAAGGAGGGGGACCAGTTCCCTCTTCCAGACGGTTTCCCGAGGGCCCAGCCTGAAATTAAGATCTTGGGGGTGGTGTTCGGACCAGGGGATCTGGCTCTCAGGAACTGGACCGAACGGCTTGCCATAGCTTCTAGCAAGGTGGAGGAGAGCCACAGGTGGAAACTGACGTTCAGAGAACGGGTGAACCTAATCAAAACCTATGTTCTGACCGTATTCGGCTACGTCAGTAACATCTTCCTTTTGCCCAGGTCCCTCCACGCTCGGATGTTTGCGCTGTTCTTCCGCATGTTGTGGGGGAACAGGCTGAACCTCATCAAAAGAGAGGTCACTTACCTGGCCAGAAAGGACGGGGGTCTGGCCATGGTCAACCCCATCGTCTTTTTAACTAACAACTTCCTGAAAAGGAACTTTGGGGCTCTCCTGAAGGATGAGCAGCCTGGCTGGGTATGTATATTCAGGGAGTGGGTCACACCTTTCCTGGTGGACTGGTTTCAGGGTGGGAGGGTGAAGAGCATGAGAGTTCGGCATTCTAGCTATCTTCCGTCTTCGGTCATCGAGGGAGTGGGAATTCTGCGCAGGTGGAACGTCACGGTGGAGGAGGTTCGGGACACTCCCAAGAAGCTTCTCGACGGGAGGGTCCTGGCCACCCACTTTGGCATTCAGCTTGCTTTGAAGGACTGCCCGCCAAGTACTCTCGCCTCGGGGTTGAAAAACATCAACTCCAGGCGCCTTCCGGAGAAATACCGAGACGTGGCGTTTCTCTCCTTCCACGGTAGACTTTACGTTCGAGGGAACTTGAAGTACAGGAACATAACGGATCGTGGTTGTCCTCGGGTGGAATGTTCCGGGGAAGTGGAGTCCATGGACCACTTCCTCCTCGAGTGCCCCTTTAACGTACAGGTCTACAAAGAGGTCTCAGCCGCCTTAGGCATCCCCTGCTTATCCCGCTGGACTTATGCGGAGTGGGCGTACGGGACGTCCAACTCAAGGGGGAGGGCTTTTGATTTGGGCACTCTTTATGTAGTCAGTTCAGTGGTTAAGTATTTCACTTGGATGGCAAGGTGTCAGGTTTCCCTTCAACGTAAAGACCTTTCCTGTCAGGTGGTGGTAGCAGACATTCTGAGGGCGGTTCGTGGGATCTATACCACCGAAAGGGCCTCTATGGATCCCACCATTTGGCAGCGTTTGTGGCGAAATCTCAAGGTCCACCCGCCTTGAACCGCTCCATGGGCGCCCTTGTCTTGGTGAAGGGAATTCCAAATCTGTCTTCACCTTTCCCCCGTAGATTTTGAACTGGTTTTTCTTTTCATGGAAGGCTGCCACCTTTAGCAGACGAGTACCTTCCTCTGCGTCTAGGTAGTGCAGTGTAGTTAGGTTATGGTTATGGTTATGCACAGGTTATTTTTGGTATTGTTTGGGTTAGGGTGGGTTTCTGGTGTATGGACAAATTGAAAAATTTACTTTGGGTGGGAAAAAAAAAAAAAAAACACTGGGTTTCTTTATGGACGGAGGGATGGACTCCTTGAGGGTGGTGTACAAACTGGATTTCATGTGGGTGGTGGGTCTATGGACAAAATTTTGATTTCATGTGGGTGGTGGGTTTGGATGTGATGAACTGAGAAAAGGACTCCATTTGGGTGGTGGGTTTGGGGGATGGACGGAGGGATAGACTCCATGAGGGTGGTGGGTTTTATGAATTGAAAATGGACTCCATTTGGGTGGTGGGTTTGGGTTTAAAGTTTGGGTTTAAAGTGTAGGTGGTGGGTTGGTGTTGATGGACGGAGGGATGGACTCCATGTGGTTGGTGGGTTTTATGAACTGAGAAAAGGACTCCATGTGGGTAATGGGTTTGTTTATGTTTATGTGTGTATTTTATTTCACGCTTGGTTTATGTTTGTGTTTAGCTGGCTGTGGACTCGAGGTCAATTGGGTCCCCCCTTGTCCCCCCCTTGTTATGTAAGAGCTCCTTCAGGAGCATTTCAGCCTTTTTTCTCCCTCCCCAAGGCTCCATGAAGTAATGGAGCCCCCCGCCTTTTAATTTATCCCCTTATGATTTAGTTCCTCCCCCTTTTCTGTTAATCCCTCTCCCTGTTATTCCCAGTTATTTAATTTGGTATAAGTTTACTCCCCTATTAGTGCCCCTTCCTGAGTTTTTATTTTGGTATTTATGTTTAATTTTGGGGTATTTATGTTTCATTTGGTATTATGTTTGAATTGGGCATTATTTCAGTTGATTGTTTATTATTGTTATTTTGTTATTTATTTTGTTATTCTGTTTAATTTTGGAAGCATTTTACAAACTAAATAAAATAAAATACTGTCTCCCCCGGGTACATTAAGCTGCCGCTGGGGAGAGAGGTCGATGCTCTCCTCTCCCTGTAGCTGGGTCTGCCGCTGGGGATCTGGGCCGCCTACCCAGCATCCCTGTAGGGCCGGTAGAGAGACTACGGTCCCATCTTCACCTGCCTGTTGGGGGTCCTCCCAGGACCAGTCTATGAGGTCTGCTGCCTCGGGTACCTCTGGTTGTGGCTGGGGAAGGAGACGGGTTGCCTCTTCCCTCTGCACGGTGCACTGCCGCTGGGGAGGGAGGTCGCTGCTCTCCTCTCCCTGTAACTCAGGCTGCCGCTGGGGAGGGAGGTCGATGCTCCAGGGGTTGGGGATCTGGGCCGACTGCCCAGCATCCCGGTAGGGCCGGTAGAGAGACCTCGGTCCCATCTCTACCTGCCATCAGAGGTTCCTCCCAGTATACCTCTACGATATCCTTCCAGCTGAAGGACCCTCGATCTGGCTCTGCTGCTGTGCTCTCTTGGGGGAACTCTGGATGCTGTTCAGGAAGGGGACGGGTTGTCGCTTCCCGGGACCCCTGGATGATGTGTTGGTACTTCCACTCTATGTCACATTCCTGGGTGACTAGATACTGCAGGTCTGCCTCCAGGCCAATAGCTCTAGGGAGTCCCAGCTTGTCTTCCCGGTCATCATACAGGTCCCAGAAGCGTGAGTCTGTAGCCCTTCCAAAGTCATCATCGTCCATATTCTCCCAGAATAGATCAGGGCCATTGTAATCCCCACACTCAGGGAATTCATACTCAGCCATCTCTGGAACAAGCTGAGTCGCGTACCACTGTAGCGCCTGGTATGCGTTGTCGAGCCACAGTTCGCTGTATACTAGATCCTCTAGTTTAGTCACCCACACTGGAAGGGGTTGTTTGCCCAGGAGGGGCATCCGCTCTGCCATTCGAGCCTGGATTTGCTGCCCTCTGCTGATTCTACGATCACCTCGCCAACGCTGAACTTCCTGTAGGGCTTCTTCCCACAGCTCGGCTCTGGCCTCACTTCTGTACCCACACATCTCCCCTTCTGAGACTGCCCCATCTTTCCAGGATAGGAAGCCATGCAATCTGTCGAGGAACCTCTCCTCCATTTCGGCTGCTGTGCACGGACTTGCTGGCTCCATGCTGCTCTAGGTAGGGACGCTGCGCAGTGGCTAGCGTTGCCCTCAATACTCTCTCATACGATACCAGTGCTGTTGGGGTGCTGCTCCTTGCGCTAGGACGCCATCCCACCGCTGCCACCAAATGTTACGGTTGCCTCCAGGCTGGCTGGAAGTTGCACCGTAGAAAAAGATGCTCCTAGCGCTCACCAAAGGACCATCAGCACCGTAGACACCATAACTACTGCGTAGCCACCAGAAGTACTGCAGACTCCACGAACCACCGCTGCTGGGCTGGTATCTCGCCGTCTGCTCTGTGCCCTGGACCCACGACCAGGCTCCAGGTTGCAGTAGGTGAACCTCTTCCTTCTGCAGAGCGAAGCAGGATCAGGAACAAGAGCTCTTACAAGAGCTCAGTAGCTAAGGGAGTATGAAGAGCATAGCAATCCCTGTAGTGATTATAGCTGTCCCCTACAAACATGAGTCAAGGCTGCAAGTTAGAGGGTCAAGAAGATCTGTTTAATGAGGGCTACCTGCCCGGCTTTTATGCAGGTCTCCCATCTGGTGGACACTTCCCTAGGGGACCAAATGGGAGTCTGTGACAAGGGACAGACAAGTAGACAAATAGGACACACAGTCACAGTATATTCCCACAATGCATCCTGGCTTCCTCCCCTCTGCCCTGGGAGATAATTGGGAAGTAACTCAATTATCTCCCAAGACAAAGGCAAAACTCCATTACACACGTTGGGACACAAAACCAGCATTATCCTTTAAAATACATAATGTAACATTTATTACACAAAACACAGACATGTAACATATCCCCAGATAGCTCAGGTCTGAGTGCACATTATTAGGTGAATGGCACTCAGACCACACGAATACAGTTTAATTGCCATGGAGCTAAAGTCTTTACACAGTCAGTTTCATACGAATGGGCTCCATGGGATTCCTATCTGGGGTATAATACATTCGAACAAAAATACCGAACACCGGGCCGTTCGTGCACTTCCACCGAACAAGAAGGGAGGTTGGCGGCTTCAGCGGTGTTCGCGCAAAACTGTGTCCGATTTTAGTTCCATGAAAATAGAGGCGAACACCGCTGAGCATTCATATGTTTTAAAATGGCCGCGACCTCGTGTTCGGGAT